GCCTCCCCGTGTGCCCTCCCCAGGGGTAGCGCCGAGAAGGGCCGGTACGTCTTTAAACCTCGGTGCGGCTGCTTCGTCACAGCCCCCTCGCTTGGGTGTGTCCTTCGCTCGCTCCCTCCCTCCCTCTTAGGTCACTCTTCCAACCCTCGAATAAAAACTGCAGCCAACTTCCGAGGCGGCCTCATTGCCCAGGCGGACCCCAGCCGCCCACAGGTCCCGGCCGCCCTCCTACCCCCGTGCGCCGCCGGCCCCCTCCCTGTGCCCCGGGACCGACCCTCCGGCTCCGGCCGCTCGCTCGCTCGCTCGCGCTCCGCTGCTCCGGGACACCATGGACAAGCTCTGGTGGCGCGCAGCCTGGGGACTCTGCCTCGTGCCGCTGAGCTTGGCGCAGATCGGTGAGTGCGCGAGGAGCGGGACGGCGGGACGCGGGGGCAGGGGGTCCGGGCCACCCCACAGGCTGACTTGGCCCAGGGGCCGGAGCCAGGGGTGCCACGGGCTGGTTTGGGGTTGCAGAGCGCTGGGCAGAGATTTGCGCCGAACTGTCCGTTGGCGAGGGCGCGGGTGGGAAGCAGCCTTTTCTGGAAAGGAGAAGGGAAGGAGAGCTGAAAGTTGACCGGGCAAATCTGCCGGCGCGCGGTTTGGGGTGAGGTCGCTGGCGCGGAGCACATGGCAGAGAGTCACTGTACCGCGGATTCTCCGAGGCGCGCGGCCGGCGTCTGGACGATCAGGCTCCTGCGCCTAAGGGCGCTGGAAGTCCAGGCCAGGCTGGCGCCGGGCTGGGGCTGGGGTTGGGACAGGGGCAGGGCTGGGGCAAGAGCTGGGACAGGGGCTAGCTTAGAGGCTATGTGGGGACAGACTGAAACAAAGAGAGCTCAGGGACAGGGACAGGAGCGGGGGTTGTTGGTGAGGTGGCCCCTGTTATGCCTGTGAGAGCTTTTCAGAAAGGGGGCTTGGGTCTCTATCACTCACAAGGGCGCCCAGACTCTGAAGCTCCCACAGCCAGCTCCAGTCAGTGCGTGCCCTAGCGCTTGTGGGAACTTGAACTAACTCCTCAGAGGTCCTGAATCTTGGCATCAGCCTGGGGCCCTGGAGTGAGGTGGAGAGGCATCCGTGGAAGCCTGGAGCCGCTCAATCCTGGCAGCCTCCTGTTACTGCCAGTTAGCTTGGGGGAAATCCAAGCTCACATTCCCAGGCCGGG